TGGTTATGAGAATAATATAAGCTAAAAAAATGTTATATAGAGAGATTATTATTATTTGTATAAATATAAAAATGCCTATATCTAATCATTTATACATTGAAAATATTAAGAATTATATTTTGGCTAAGGTTGAAGAAGGAGAATTCAAATGGGAGAAGGGGAGATCAAAGAAATGTATCATTAATTAATATATTAATTACGGAATTATCAAATTTAATTATTATTGATTGTTAATTAATTATTATTGTCCTTTTTTTCTTGTTAAAACATAAACCAAGACAACACGCTGTACACCAGGCACTAGAGATTATTACAGTTAAAAACTAATAAAATATCTATTAAAAAAAAGAAAATAAATCAGAGGTTGTAGTAGGAAAGGGGGTTTGGAGAAGATTAATTTCCTTCCACTTGAGAACCTCTGTGGAAACCTAATACTTTCTGTTCTCGATGAACTTCATTTCTAATCATTTTTTCTTTCTTTCAGGGCAGCAAAATACCGTCCAGAAGTATCCTGCCTTTGGAAGTTGCTTGGAGATGCCTGTAATTGTGTATGTGTTATTTCACCATCCAAAGTGAATGTAAAAGTTTCAGGTTTCCTTATTGGCCAGAACATGGAAAAATGTGTGCTCCAAAAAAGTGATCTGCTCAGTCTTGGGGGAAGGTAATGGACCTTATACAATCCTATAAGGGTGGGTGTGTTTGAGTGAGGGATTGCTTATTCTCCTCTGAACCTGTCCAGTCACTTCAATCAACAGGGGAGGCCCAATGAAGATTTCCAAAGTTTGCTTATCTGGCATATAGGGGAAGGACTTTCCAGATTATGGAATGCTTTTCTTTGGGAGTTACATTTGCCTTTCTGTCTCTTAATATTTTGGAAATGTCAAAAGTGCATCTTATTTATTAAGAGATTGTTATTAACAATGAATTGTTTGTTGTAACTTCATTGATTTTATGATGTTTTTTGTATTTCTTTTCATTGTTGTAAGCTCCTGGACTGCTAATGTAAGCAGAACAGTGGATTATAAATTGTTTGTTTCATACCAAAGAATGGAGCAATAATTGTTATGCCAATTTGTTAAAAATGTTAAGGGTTAAGAATAAATGTGGCCAATGACCAGTATAGCTGTAGTCAGGGACAATGAAGAAAAATAATCATGGAATATGATTATTCCAACACATCTAGTTGGAAAAAGAAATACATGGTTTGAACTGAGTTAAAGCTTTGAATTTATTAGAATTGAATGTAAAATCTCAGATTCTTTGGTAGCAAAATGGCCCCTATTTCATTACACCAGTATTGCCACACGACTAAGTGTTCTCAGTGTCTATTGGTTTGCATTGAGCAGTGTTGCTATCACACAGAAAAGTTTTGTAATCCTTGAAAGCACCCTTAAGTATATAATTCCATTTCCATCAGTTTTGCTAATGCGAGTAGTTCTCTTCATGTTTCTGCAGATGTTATGGTCGAGGACTGAAACTGATGTCTTCACCAAATACATGGTGTGA